TAGCTCAGTACCTTGAAACACCAAGCATCCATCTGACAAAACGAGTGTTCCAGCCAAACAGCATCTCCTCTGCTAACTAGTTAAGCTCTGAACTGTAATCCCTTTAGAATGATGATTTCAAAATAACTTCCAAAGAGCTTTAGAAGTAGCGGCAGAAAGTGGAACAGACCCCAGTTATGCATCTTGTCAAAACATTTAAGATACTGGCATGACTCAGTCAGTACTGCTAGGATCTATGAGTAAAAGGCTGCAAGGACCTGGCCAGATTCTTCAGAAGCTGTACCCAGATCTAGGCTTAAGAACACAAGAAAAGTCCTACTGCATCAGGTTAAAAGCTCATCCAGCCCAGCATCCAGTTCTTACAATGGCCAACCAGATGCCTATAGGAAGCCTGCAAGGAGAACCTCAGTACAACAGTGCTTTCTCCTCTTGTGATTCCCAGGAACTGGCATTCAGAGGCATCGTGCAACAGTGGAGGCAGAGCATACCTGCTGTGGCCAGGAGCCACCGGTGGCTTGAAGGGTTCGGAGAAACTGAAAGCCGAAGGAACTCAAAACAGGTGGCAGCTGGGGCCTTAAGCACACTCAGCTGACCAGGCAACCCCCCTGCAATTTAACCCAGGGATGACCAATCCAAAGACATCATGTTGCCTGCCAATCACACAGGCTGTTATTGCATGGATTCCCTTCGGTTCCTCAAGGGGGCGCTGAATCCAGAACACGAACAAGGTTCCGGGTAGCTCGCCAAGGAGGGTGCCTCCCCACAAACTAGCAGTGTAAACAGAAAATGGGGGGGAATCATTTGCATGGACTGTTGACCTAATGGCCCCACTTTATTCTCCCGCTAGCAGTGCTCATTTATAGCACCAACTCCTTCCAGTTTTAGCTATGCCCCTTCCTTAAACACTTAATTTAAATACAGTCTGGTTATTTCAAAAAAGCAAAACTCCCCTCCCCCTGCTTTCTCTACCTGGCCATTTCCCCTTGTCCTCTCCTGCTCTGCATCAGACTTCCTTCCCCAGGGATCGACTTTGGCTACCACCTACTTCTTTCCTAAGCACTCTCAGTGCCACAGTGGGGGTGAAGCTGCATCCTCCAGGATCTGCATACATGGGTTGCCAATAGACTATGTAACTCCATCCGGGATATGTTTGTTTTTCAAAGGAGTCCCACAGAAGCCAATGGGGCATCACTTACCCACTGCTTGCGAGCATGATTTCTCCTCTTGAAGTATAAGATCAACTTCTTCCGCATTGCCTGGTTTCTGCAAAGGAGAAGAAAAGGTAAGATTTTGTTAAAGTGCCTCTCTCTCCTTCTCCTTCTCCCTCTCCATCTCCCTCTCTCGCACACACAGTTCTAGCATCAGTCTGCAAGGTAATTGTTCACAATGAGTTTTCTCCATGGCATGATCCTCAAGAGGCACATACATGCTTCCAAACCATGCAGAGAAGGTCCCAGCAGCATTTTCTCTGGTCCACGTTTTAAATAGCTGCAGAAGTTTAACTGAGCACCTACAGGTACCTGTCACATGCAAATTGCTTATATAGACGGTTCACACAAAGGTGGGGAAAAACACAAGTGCTTTGGAATTACAGACAACCTGAAGAAAATTTCCCAGCACAACTTCAGTGTTATTATTTTTATTATTTATTAAATTTGTATACCACCCTTCATCCGTAGATCTCAGGGCAGTTTACAACATGTTGATGGATAGCTGAACCCAACAGAGTACAAAAGGCTATTTGAATGAAGTTCTTTTTTGCAGTAACTTCATTGAGCAGCTACAATAGAAGTGTACATCTACACTATTGTTTTGAAGGATTTGCTGTGTACCTCTACACCACAAACTTGCATTCCTACAATAATTATTAATATATTATACACACACATAAAATATAGTGCACACAACCTATAAAACACAAAATATATTCACATTTTAAATTGATGAATATAATTCTTATACAGTATTACAAACAACTGCTATATATTACTTTTATATAATAACTTAGATAAACTGTCATTCATAAAATTGTGGGAATAGTAGCATTTTCAAGAGAGCAAAATTAGGATTCTCTAACAACACTCTCAGCAAACTACCATTACCAGAAATCTTTAGGGGAAGCTAAGGCAGCTGAACTAGTATAAACAAGCACATATTTAAAGTGAAGACAAGCCGCAGATATTTGCATGTGACCAAAATTTTGCCTGGTCAAGCCTCACATAAATCTAAATCTCTTTGTGCTGAAGGCAGGGCAACCCATTTGCCTTCAATGCCACCCAGGAATCAGCTGGTGCAACCCAAGAATAAGTGTGCCTTGAAGCAGATGACCGTGCAAGCGAGCGAAGTTACGTGCTGTAATAGCCCTTTAGATTCCCTGTGACTTTGCTTAATTGACTGAGCTCTGAAAATCATCAGGCCAACATGGGGCATATGACTTTTCAGTTGCGGGGGGCCAGAGACCATCGGATCAAAATCTACCTTTCCTATGTTTGCTATCTGTCGCCAGAGGAGTGAGACTCTCACCAAAGCTGAGCCCACGCCAAGCCTCCCTTTGTGCCCTAGTAGACTCAAACGATTAGCCAGGACAGGTACATACATACCTTGTGGAAGTGGCCTTTTTTTAACCAGCTACATGAGGTGACAAGCTAAAACCAGGTTCCCAAACAATGGCCATATTGAGCCCCATTTTCTCCAGTTTGGCTGCAAAGGCTTTGATGTAAAAATAGGACTCAGTTTCCAAGGTATTGCTTGGCAGGGTAGCAGCTTCCTCCTTTCAACTGGAAAACAGGAGCTGACCCTCTGAATCAAAAACCCTCTACCCCATAAGCAAAAAGCAACAGCAGAGGGAGAGCCCTCTGTGGTTAACCCAATTACAGCCAGCAAGAAGGGCAAGAGAAGAAGCAGGTCCACCATTAAACAATTCCATTACAAAGCAGTCTGCTCCGTTTTGATCTGGTATGCTTAAAAACAAGAACAGAACATCACCCCTCCGCTGCTGTTTGGAACAGCATCTGCCTCTGCAATTTAATCAAGTACCACAATCCTCCAGCTTGATTTATTTTACATGCATGTTTCTAGGTCTCATGGTGGGAGCAACAAACAAGCTTTTCGGGGGGGGGGGTCACTGTATGCTAAACAACAGCAGTAAGGCAATGCCCACAAGCCCTTCCCTATAAACTTCATGCTTGTTGCCCTGGGTTCCTTCAGTAGGAAGGCCAGAATAAAAATTTAATTGCTAGTAACAACAACAGTAACACCTCTGAAGATGGTTTGGAAACTTCAGCTGGTGCAGAATTTGGTAGCCAGGTGTGCCTCACTGTGGTAAGATGGTTTGAGTGTATTACACCAATGCTGGTCTGACTGCACTGGCTGCCCATTAGTTTCTGGGCCCAACTCAAAGTGTTGATTTTGACCTATAAAGTCTTAAATGGCTCCGGACCGCACTAACTCAAGGACCACCTCTTCCTATATGAACTGACCGGGACCTGAGATCAACATCTGATACTCTTCTATGTGTGCCTCCTCCACGAGAGGTCCAGAGGGTGACAACATGAGGACGGGCCTTTTCTGTGATGGCACACCCGCTCACGGAATGCTCTCCCCAGGGAGGCTCAACTGGCACCTTCATTACATCTCTTTAGGCGCTAGGTGAAAACACTCCTCTTCAACCAGGCCTTTGGCTGGTCAACAACCTATAGCCTTTTAAATGTGCTTGAGGGAGGGGGGTGGGGGGACAAACCAAAAATGGTTTGTTTTTCTTCTTGTTTTTATTATGTATTTTGTTTGTGTTTTTATATTGTATTGCTATGCTGTGAACCACCCTGAGATCTTCAGATGAAGTGTGGTATACAAATTTATTAAATAAAAATAAAACAAAACCAGTAGGAACAACAAACATGAAATAACTGGCAGATCTTTAGGTCTGGGCATCCAGCCTCTGGACCCCAGGCTTAGTTCTTGGTATCATGCAGTGGCTTGGGGAGATAAACTGAATGTCCCAGGTTCAAGTCTCAGCCCAGATAGCAACTTACTCAGTGAGTTAGAAAAACCATTAAATTTCAGCTACACCCCCCCCCAAACACATGAGAATAAGAACAACACCCTATTCTGCAGGGCTCTCATAAGAATAACAGGCGTTATCTTTATAAAGCACTTTGAGAAAGTGCTACGTATATACTAAGTGTAGAACCAAAATGGTGTAGCACAAGGCTGGAGGATCTCAGGTCCGCAGGTCAGAGGCGGCCTGCTAGGGCCTCCCCATTTCGCCTGCGAGGTCATTTTGGTGGAAGTCATGCTCACCCATTCTACACTTGCTGCCATATATGGGGCAGATAAGAGCGGCACTTCAAAGGAACAATCAGGAGCTTAATTTCCCCATTGTTGCTCTGCAGGAGCAAGGCACACTCCCTCTCCCAGCATTGCTCTTTGAAGCAGTTTCTCACTGCTCCTTTAAACTTATGAGAATAGTGAGTTTAATGGAACACCACAAAGCAGCTTCCCAAAATCTTTCAAATAGCCCTGCACTGCTCCTTTAAATCTCCAATTTTCCCACCCTGTGCTTTGAAGTCCCAACAAATGGGGCTTCAAAGCACAGCATACCCAATGTCAGGTGACTGACAGGTGGGTGACCCCTCCCACCTGCCAAATTTAGCTAACCAGGAGTGGGGAGCCTCAACTCAGCCAGAAAGCTCATCAAGTGACTTTTTCCAGTCGCCATCTCTCAACCAAACATATCTCACAGGGTTGTTGTGAGTACAAAATGGTTGGGAAACTACTTTGAAAAAGTGGAGTACAAAATGCAATAAATAAATAAGAATTCATTATGAGAAAACTAATAAACATCAAATTAAATGACAACTTATTTGTTTAAGGGGTGTTTATCCTAATAATAGGTGTTCATGGAGAGCCAACCCAGTTTAACACCCTATACCATTGTGGTTGCATATTTTTGTGAAAGTTAATTGCTCAGCAGATCCTATTCCCATCTTGTTTTCATCACTAGGTGTGTGGCCTAGTGGTTAGAGTGTCAGACTCAGCCCTTGAATGCCAGGGTTCAAATCCCCACTCAGCTGTGACACTCACTGGGTGACTTTGGTCCAGTCACTGTTTCTCAGCCAGACCTACCTCACACGCTTGTGGTGAGGATAAAATGAAGAAGGAGAGAGTCAGGTACACCCCTTTGAGGTCCTTGGCAAAAAGGTAGGATATAAATGTAGTAATACGTAACATGAATAAGAAAACCTTGTTGGAATTGTGCAAAAACCACAAAGCAACAACCCAATGAAGCACTCGGTGCAATGAGGCAACAGCAAAGGTGAGCTCCTCCTGTTCTGCCCTCATTAAGGACGGTCATCTGTGAAGGGCCTTCCCACGTGTGCCAAAGGTACCACACCAGAAATCAAACCCCTGAGGTTAAGGAGTAGGGTTTCTGGTGCTCTTTACATGCACAAGGGAGCAGCTCCAAAAGTGGGGAGGGGGGCAGAGAGAGAAAGACAGCAGGAGAGGGAGTAGAAGACCATCCCAGCAGCCTCACCTTCTCCCTTCTGGGCAAGACAGCTGAAATAGTCAATAACAATCTTTTTCAAAAGCCTTGGGAGCTGCTGGCCCAATCCGAGAGCAATGCAGGAGACCAGGAAGCCGTAACACACAGACTCCAAGCACATCAAAAGGGCTTGAAAGAACAGAGATGCTTTACAATACCTGCCTCAATTATTCAGTTTTGCTGGACCCCCAAGGAGGTTAATATGGAGGAGTGAGCGAGGCTGAGCTGGCTCTGTGCATTTGCAAAGGCAGCAAAGAGTTTCAAAAGCGTTTACAAAGGGGCTGGGCTGTCTTGGTTTCCTTACCTTCTGCACCCCACCACGCCTTGTGCGAGGGAGGGGGAACTCTGCGGATCCCACTCCGCTTCAACAGGCTCCTGTGAGCATTGGTGTGCTTCGCAGCCAGTCCTCGCTACGTGCCACTGCCGTTACTTAGAAACCGTTTGCGAGAAGGTTAATTCGGGCCATGTATCGGAGGAAGCACATGTCGCGGTCCCTGGAGGCATAGCAAGCAAGCGAGGCTGCAGAATTTCTGCAGCGCAGCCGGCAGAAGGTAAAGAACTGACACACACCAGTGGGAGAGGCGCTCAGCGACTGCAAACAGCACTTTAGAAAGGTCAGAACTGCAACGCGCCATCACCTCCCCAGCAACGATCTTCTAACTGTTTACATTGATTAAAAGGGAAGGAAAATCAGAGATGGCAGAAGCGCTGGGGAGTCCTAGAGGGTGGGACCAAGCACACAGAAGCTCACCTTCGTAAGCAATGCAGAGGTTACATTTTTGGTTCTAACGGGCTCTTCTTTATTAAAAATAAATTGTAAAAAATCCCCCAGACCTTGAGGGGTACTTACATATAAAAAGTAGCAGGGTTGTTGTTTTTTTGCTTTTTTAAATGTCAGCTGTCCCTTTTGCCATGGGAAGCTGTCTGCATGAAAAGATAGCTGCAGGGTTCGGAGCTGACTTTCGTTTTTTTAAAAACTAGAAGTTCATTTAGTACCATTTCCACAAATGTAACAGGGGAGGTCTCTGCATCAAGACACTTACAATCTAAAATTCAAAAGGCAATATATGAAGAGGAAGGAATTGGAGACTGAGAGCAAGACAAGGGAAATTAGGTTCATTTGCAGTGGGGCAAGGGGACTAGCTTTGGCCAACGCAGCATAGACAGGCTCTTCCTACTTGTACTTGGCTGGACATGCTCCTTGCCCACGACAGAGGCTGATGCTGCACACCCAGGTGCCCTTCACAGCCTAAAAAGAGGGTCCTGGGCAAGCACAATTCTGGGTTAGCTCCTGGTTCAAACTCTGGAGTGCCTTACATCAGAGATAGGGATCCTGCAGCCTTCCAACAATATTTGTAGGGTTGCAGGTCCACCTACTTGCCTTCCTGAGGAGTACTAGCTTCTGAGTGAAACGTCTGTAGGGTCAATAGCCAGCATAAGCAAAGTTCATTCCCTCTACTTAAAAGCCACTGGGCAAAGAGAACAATTCCACCTTAACGCTCTCATCAGGCACAGTTCCAAGCTCTTTGGGAAAGGAGTCTGTGAAAGAAGTTTGGTGTTTTGTATTCCCTGGCCCACAGCCACCTGAATATCTCTGGCCAGCCTCCAGGGGGGTTAACAGCTTCAGTATATTGTGTAAACGTATGCTGCACGTAGATTAAAAACCCCAAAGCCAGGGAGTGGCTGGCGGGGGAAAGGAGAGAGATAAAGGCAGCGGAGATATAAGAGAGGCCAGCTTTCCTGAGACGAAGCCGGAGCCAAGAGAGAGACAAAAGCATCTCTGTTAGGTGGTCACAAACTTTTATCGCAGGTATTACATTACACAGGAAGCCTTTTGACTCATCCAAAAGCCAGGATCAACATCAGCAGCGAGCTTGGCAAAGGGGAACGGAAAGAAGGGGCCAAGTAGGGCCGGCGGTTCAGATGGCAGAAATAAAACAGAAGGAGATGCCCAGGAGCTGAAGAGGAGCAACCCACTTGCCCTTGCCCTTCCGGTCTAGGAAGAGATTTCTGCTGGCGGGTTTGGATGGAATGAGGCAACCCCAGTAAACAGGAACAGAGGGTAATTTCGTTTGGTCTGCATTTTAGAGAAGAAGCTTAATTCTCAGTTCAAAGATTTATATGTGTGTTGGTGGTGTAATGTGATCCATGGGTGCTTGGTCCATGTCTTGAGTTAGCGCATCCCCCAAGCTGCTGGACGTTCTGAGTTGCCCTGGGTTACCACAGCAACAGAGCAGAGTTCGAGTGTACGACTTGCTAAGTCATTCACCTTCCCTTTGGCTCAAGAATGCAGAGATAGGTATAATGGTCTCTAGGGCATTGCCTTCATTATGTTCTTGTATGCAAGGGGGTCCTGATGCAAATCCTGATGCTGCCCTGTTTGCTGTCAGGGTCTGACTCTGAATCTGTGAGCGTCCAGGGAAGAGGCTGTGAGTTTTACAGAGCAGTGTTAGCTAGCATGGTGACAGTGTTAGCGGATCTCTCTGTACCTATGTGTCTTTACTACAGAGACCAGAAGATCTGTATATAGTAGATAGCAGTGTTCAGCTTTGTCTTGTGTCTGGAGACCATAAACACTTCGTTACTTTTAGCTGTGTGGCAGAGGAGTTTTCCCCTAACTGGGACTCTGGAAGAAGCTGTTGTGCTGGAGCGGAAATCTCTGAAGACTCTGCTGAGACATCACAGTGGCTGAGGTGTGGTGATCTAACAACCGCCTTCCACAAGTCACCAACATGTGTGTCAGAGGTGCTCTGCAACTCAGTGGCAGGAGTTTGCATATTGCATGCAAAAGGTCTCTGGTTCAACCCTGGCATCTCTGGTTTAAAGAAGGGTCACAAAGCCAAACTGGTTCCTCCCAGATACTACTGGGCTCCCAATTCCCTCCAGCCCCAGCCAGCCTGGCCAATGGTCCAGCCCTTTGTGTTGGTCTCATAGAATATGCGGAAAGGGTGTGGCTCTGTGGAAGAGAACCTGCTTTGCAAGCAGAAGGTGCCAGGTTCAATCCCTGGCATCTCCAGCTAGAGTTGGGAATGCCTCCCCTCTCAATCCCTGGAGAGTTACTGCCAATCAGTGTAGACAACACTGAGCTAGGGGGACCAAGAATCAGACTCCATATGAGGCAGCTTCCTATGTCCTTATGTCAGGGATGATGGGAGATGTAGTTCAGCAAAATCTGGAAAGCACCGGGTTGACTACCCCTCAGCTAGAGGGACAGGTAGAAGGACCTGTTGTAAAACCGCTTCCTATATTCCTACTCATACTTTGCTCGCCACAGTTCTTGGTACTTCATCCACTTGGGTTGAGGTGGGGCAGGGGAGAGGGAATGGTACATAGTATTTGGGAGTCAGGGGTTGAGGGAGAAGGAAACCACCAAGGCCAGCAACATGCTTCTCAAGCATTTAAATAATTCATCTAAACACTTTCTTGCAAGCTCACAAGAGAAACTCTGAATGCTAGGGAGCAGAAAAGGGACGTGGGGAGAAATTTTAATTGAGGAGGATGCCAGCTGTGTTTTAAAGGGGAAAGGGAATCAAGCACCCAAGAAGACTATGCAAGTATGTGGCCACCTTGGCAACTTGATGCATACCTTTAGCATGAAGCAGAGCGTATTACAGAGAAGAGAAGGCAAAAAGGTCAAAGAAGGAGAGAGACTCCAAAAGCAAGATTTTAATAATTGAAAACAGTAGAAATGCAATCCTTTTATAGCCCAGCTCTTACCGGTGCAAATTCATTAGGGTCACTCCAGGCTAAAGGCATTTGAAGCTGTAGCCCAAGGAAGGGTTGGTAGCAGTGGGGTTGCAGCACCTGCCTTGGAAGCAGAAGGTCCTGGGTTCAATCCCTACTGGCATCTCCAGGTCTGAAGCCCTGGAGAAGAGCTGCCACTCCGTGTGGACAATACAAAGCCAGGTGGCTCTTCATATGGTGACATTAACTTCCATCAGCCTCAGCCAGGATGACATGAGCTGGAATCTGACAATGTGTGGAGGGCCGTGGGATTCCCATCCTTGTGCTAAAGGATCCCATGTTATTTGTTTATTAATTTATACACTGCCCTGGCTACATGCCAAAAATGACTTCAAAGCAGTTTACAACTCTAAAATCAAGATATAATTAAAATTAACAACAGCCATACACCGGGGAATCAAAACATCCTTAATTAAAATATACAATCAAACTATCAATCAAAAAGCCCAACAGTTTGGAAAGAACAGCTAGATCAATAAAATCAGCTCAGGGGACCACCTGCCTAAACAGATGAGTCTTCAGGAGCTGGTAGGATGCCAATACTGATGAGGCTCCATCAGAGTTGGCATTCCGCCAGCTCCCAAAGACATACCTGTTTAGGCAGGCATTCCCCTGAACCCAATTTCTGCTACAAGGAAGGGAAAGGCCTCTCTCTGCCTAAGGTCTGGGAGAGCCACTGAAAGTCAAAACAGTGTCAAAGCTGGGCTGGACTCACTAGAGGCCAGATTTTACATTAAGGCAGCTTCTTGTGTTACCACCACAGCTAATGTACAAAGTCACAGTGAAGCTCTTTAAGCTACACTGCATCTTGGTCTCCCAGGGAGCTGAATGCAATGATTTAGAAGCTCCTGAAATTGCAGATGCAGGGATGAACTGGGGCATGAAATTAATTTTAACTGTGCACTGTTAAAAGGCAGAAACATTAAACATCCAGGCATTGGTTACGTGGATCAAAAGGGCACACTGTGTACAGGAAGAGAGGGCAGCCTTATGGGGCCAATTGTTAAGAATGACATGCCAGAATGGAGACTCATCACCACATCTCCAGGCCCACAAAAATGCAACAATGGCGTACCTTGGAAGGAGGGGAGAAGAGAAGGAAGGAAGGAGAGGGAACAGATAGGAGGACAAGGAGTTTCTGGGCTCAAAGGCTCCCTGGGCAGCCTCAGAATTGATTGCATGACTTAAATCAGGGGTGGGCTACCTTCCAAGGGTAACATTAGCCATACACAAGAGTATGCCCATTAAAAGTGGTGGAGATGGCTAACTTAACTGAGTAAAACTTATTTGGATACAACCCTATGGTTTCTTTCATTTTAGTGAAACACACAGAGAGACAAGTTCCTAGTCCTTGTTAGTTGTGGGGCACTGAGACCGCAGAAGCCAAAGATAAGAGGCAAAAAGGGGGTTAGGGGGCTGGCAAGGGCTTCTCGCAGTCTTCAATGCTGTTTCTCAGTCCAACTACGGCCTTAGGCTCAGTGGCAGAGTATCTGCTTTCCATGCAGAAAGCCCTAACTTCTCCAGGTACGACTGGCCCTGCGTTGGAAAGCTGCTGCCAACCAGTGTATGGAAATACTGAGCCAGGCAGACCTGTGGGCTGACTCAATATAAGGCAGCTTCTGGCGTTTGTTCCCCTCCAGGTTTGCTGTGCCAAGTCTCAGCTGCACAGGGCCACAAATGCCAACCCAGCAGTCCATTCCGATTTTATCTCCTCACTCACTGGCTTGGGCTGACAGCCTCCGGGCAGCAATACAAGTCTGCTGTGGCTGTTCTTAGGGCGATAGCATTACACTCCCTCCTCTAGCTGCACTGTGGCTGAGCAGGCAAGGGACAGTCCTCCAGAGGGGACCACAGAGGATATACATTACCATCATGTTCCCCTCAGTGCGTTCCTGAATGCCAGGGCAGCCACCCACAGCTGACAAGAACAGTATTTAAGCTATCCAATGAGGTGAGCCACTAGGAAACACGCAAGGACTGTGACAAATGGCCTTTAAATCCTGAGCTGCACCTATCAGGGTCTGGGGTTGGGGGTGGGAAAGGACATGCACACTGCCTCGGCACCAGTATCTCAGGGTCCCAGGATATGGCATGAAGCAGGGGTCAGCAACCTTTTTCAGCCGTGGGCCGGTCCACCGTCCCTCAGACCATGTGGTGGGCCGGATTATTATTTTTTTGGGGGGGGAATGAATGAATTCCTACGCCCCACAAATAACCTAGAGATGCATTTTAAATAAAAGGACACATTCTACTCATGTAAAAACACACTGATTCCTGGACCGTCCGTGGGCTGGATTGAGAAGGCGATTGGGCCGGATCCAGCCCACAGACCTTAGGTTGTCTACCCCTGACATGAAGGCATAAAGAGCTAAAGCTAAGTGGGTGTGGATCTGGTCAGTACCTGGTATATGCCACCTTGGGATCTATGATGGAAGACATGAAGAATATAAATATAAGAAATGCAAGGCCACACCGAAGACCACCCTGGCCAGCTCTGGCAGGGGAGCCTCCTGGGCAGCATGGCATCTGGTGCACCAAAAGAACTCCAATACTGTCTCACATACACACCGCCTGAAGGGGAAGCACTCAAAACCTGGGAACTAGAGAACTTGGGCAGGGGGCTGGTTTGTTCCTTCACCCCACCTCTCCAGTCTTGGCTGCAGCGAGGTTTGAAATCTGTAGGTCCACAACAGGAGACCCTCCCACCTCCTCCAGCTGGTGATGCATGGCAGAAATAGTTTTGCTTATTCTGGATCAATTCCTGGATTTTATGATCTTATTATTGGTGGCGTAACATTAACCTTCAGCACCCACAAACGCAGGAGGTTGCCAACAAGCCCACTAGGCTGCCCCAGATGAGCAGAAGAAAGGCCCTCACAGTTGTCCTTCTCCCATCATGGAAGCCCAACCTCCTTCTGCCCACCCACTGCTGTGTGAATGTCAGCATCCAGCCCAACAACTCCCAGCCTTCCAAAAACACATATTGGGACTCAGTCAGCCATCCCAACCCAAAGCTAATAACGAAACACCATGGAGAACATTAAAAGTCCCCACAATAATCAACAGGTCCAGGGAGCATTATAGCCAAAGCAGGGCCAGCACAACTGTTAGGGAAAGCGAGGCAGCTGACTCAAGCAGCAGAAGCTGAGGGGTGGCAGTGGCAGGAAGACAGAGATGAATCTCGCATGCAGCCTGCCATGTGGCCTCTATGTTAGCCTGCTGCTCTCAGTACGACTGAGCGTATTCTCCTGTCACTTGCCAGTTCTGTCAGCTTCTGTACATGGAAGGTGCCACCCTTTCCTTTGCTTCAAACACCAAATATGTATCAGGAAAGCCAAAATATTAATGTAATGATGGAACCAGAACAACAGAGATAAAGCACAGTGCTCCCAGCTCCCTCCCCTCCTCTCTGTCTTTACACACACCCTTCGCTACAGTTCGGCTCAGTCTTCCAAAGCATGGCACCCAGTGGACTTCGTTGGACAGCAACTCTCATCAGCCCCAGCCAGCATGGCCAGAGATCAGGCATGATGGGAGTTCTAGTCCACAACATCCAAACGTGGCCAGGTTGAGGAAGCCTGATGATCTACACCAACTCAAAACCCACACCTGATCTGCTGTAAGAGCTGCTGTAAGATGACACACTGTGGTTGTGGTCTCTTTGGGGGAAGGACAGGAAACTAGACTTAAGTTGCAAGGCTTCACTTCAGGATAACTTCTGGGTCAGGTTGGAATTCCCGACTTGAGCACCAAGGGACCTGGCCTCACTCCCCTCATCCCAATCTTCTGGCTGTGCTGACCAAAGCCACCTTGCTCCCGTGGCTAGTGCAGGATCCTCTACAGTCATCCCAAACGAGCTCTGTGCAAGTGCAGAATCCTGTTTGCTGAACTGCTCAGGGATGGTGAAAAATGCCATGAATCTTCAGGTCGTTTCAAATCTCCCATCCAAACACAGGCACACAAACGTCCCCCAGTTCCCTTCTCATCACGCCCCTTCCTGTTTTCCAGCAGCGGATTCCCTCCCTCACCCCACCCTCACCTTCCACAGCAATTACCCACAACACTCCAGCCACCCCTGCTCCATCTCTCCGCTGACTCCAAATGACAAACCACTTAGGACATTTTGCTGCTTCAAGCCTCAAAAGCAGGAAATGCAGCACGAGGGCAAACAGGAGAGATGTCCCCTCCTGCTTTTCTGCGGAGGAAGAGATTTGAGGCAGGAAGGGCAAAGAATCTCTTTCTCCCCCTGCCTTAATCTCACTAATGCACAGACATTTGAAAGGAAGGCGGGGAGGGGGTAGAGAGAAAGAGATGGAAGAGGACTTTATTGCCATGTACTTACATTTTAATGTTCTCATGGTATTGCCTTGTGTCTGAGGGTTGGTTGTAGAGTGGCTGAAAAGAAAAAGGAAATTTGAAGTGTAAATCACAGCGTGGGCTAGCATATCATAATTATGGAGCGCTGACAGCAAGGCACCCTGTAATGCTTATGAGCTTTGGCTCCCAGGGAACTGAAGGCACGCTAAGTCGCTACAACTCCAAACGTCAGTGCCAAAGGCCTGCTTGCTCCACTGCCCACCCACAGCCTTCCACCGTCACCTGAGATGCTTCTCCTCTGCATTCGCTTCTACTTTCTTCCCCAAGGTGCTGCCTGCCTGAGTCACCGCAGAACTAAGAATACACTGTTCAAAAGCAAGCTTGTTCAGAAACAAGCAATTTGCAACGTAACTCCTCTGAAGCCCCATGTGCGACACAGCAGAGAGTAGCAAGCTGGGGAGGGGGCAGGCTATTATTCACTTTATTGTGGAAGAAAATGTTCACGTCGCACACATAGGAACTCAGGGGATTGGCCGGGGATGTGGGGAGTGTGGCTGCAAAGGACAGAGCAAACTCCACAGCTCAGTGGTAAAGAACAAGCTTTGCATGCAGAAGGTTCCACACAATCAGTGCTCAGCATTTCCAGTTTTAAAAGACTCTCAGGAAGCAGAGTTGAAAAAGATGCAGCCGAGATGCTGGACAGCTTCTGCCAGATAGGGCTCATCCACACTCCTGCATGTGCAGTGCACAGAAAGCACAGGTCCAAGTGGTTTTCTGCTTGACCCACGC